GTGTAGCCAGCAGCCAGCGTGAGCGGCCGTCCAGAAGCCGGCGACTGATCTGCCTCGCCCGGGAAAAGCGCAATGGTGGCGCCAACTTGGGCCAGTGAAGCAATGTCCTCCACAACTAGACTGAAGAACAAAAGAACAGCAACTTGTCTGTTCCCCTTTCCCCAATTCCCCAGCACTGTTCCCATCCCATCAATTCCCCAATAAAAATCTTAAAAAAAAAAACAAAACAAAAACTTATGGAACTTGAAAATTGTATTGAATCTATTGGAAACCTATCTTCTATAGTCACAATACAATCTAAAGGAATATAATTTAATTGGCAAGCCTTAACTGAATACTAAAGCGGCGACTCAAAGTGTGGTCCCTGGACCTAGCATCTACATCACCTTGAATTTGTTAGAAATGAAAACTCTAAGGCACCAATGTTAGAATGGGGGTGGGGTCCAGCACTCAGCACTTCAGGTGACTCTGTTTGCTCCGGCTGGATAGTTTACAGACTAGTTCCACCGAGCTCAGGGTGCAATGCTCTTTAGGGACCGGAAGTCCTAAAGAACAAGAGCAATACAGTTCCTAGGCACATCCTCTATGGCACAGTGTCACACACATAGTAGGTACTCATATCTGAACAGGCGATTAATAGTCTCATATAATAAACAGCTGGCAAGACAACACCATCAGTTTATGTATTTCATAGAGATAAGACATTCCAATGACTCTCTGCATTAACTAGTAAGTAAGTACATGGTGCACACAAACCAGGAGCTGTTAAATAACTGGCAAAGCCGGAGGCCTCCAGTACTTTAGCAAATAACCCAGGCTTACAAAGTGTCATTCACTTTGAAACTTAAGTGAAAAACAGATTTCTAATTTTACCAATATACAAATAGGATATGTCCATGCTTCTACACAAGTCAACTGTAGAACTAAAATGAAAACTTTTTATCAAACTTTAAAAAGCATCGTATTTCACATATTAACCAACTATAATAGATGGATTATAATTTGAACAAACTGTTTAAAAAGTAGTCAACTGAGGAAATTTGAACACTGGATAATTGATATTAAGAAATGAAGATAAAGGGATTATCATTATCCTTTTTTTTAAAAAGCTTTATCTCTACTAAAAGCATTAGAGATTAAAATGAAAAAGATGTATTGAATTTGCTTCTTGGGGAAAGAACAAATGCAATTAAGCTGACCACTGAGCTGTTGAGTCCATAGGGGGCTAACTACATACCAGGGTTTCTCAACCCTGGCTCAACTGACATTTTGGTCCAGAGGGAAAGGGTGCTATCCTGTATATTCTAAAATGTTTAGCAGCATTCCTGGTCAGTAGCAACCCTCTTCAGTTATGACAACCAAAAATGTCTCCAGACACTGTCAAATGTCCACTAGACGGCAAAATCGTCCCTGGTTGAGAACCACTGACAAATATTTATTAATTATCTCTACTTATTGGTTTGAAATTTTCCATAACAAAACATTTTTTTAAGTTTTGTATCAGTACAACTACTTCTCCCTGGTTGAATCATTAGTACATAAGCTTTTGGGAAACAGCCTGATACACAAAACAGTGGAGGGGGCTGAGTTGGAGAAATGGGACCTAGTAGAGGTTCTGCTACTAAATAAATAGTCGGTGGTCACAAGTAGCTCCTGTCACCTGTCTGAGCCCCAGCATCCTCCCTAGGTCAGAGTGTTTGACAAACCCTTTTGAGTTATAAAATCTTTTATATACCCGTCAGCTAAAGGAGTATATTCACATTTAGAAACAAATGAAAATATAGTACACTAGGAAGAAAATAATATTTTTATAGCAAATTATTTGCCTTTTATTATTCTTGATCTATAAGCAACATTCTTATCACAATTATATTAACTACTCGTATTTAAAAGTTAAATAAATTTGTGACAACATGGATGGATCTTGAGAGTATTATGCTAATGAAATACTACACTTGATCTTAGCCAAAAGGCCGAGAAGCTATATGTTAAATGAAATAAGTCAGACAGAAAAGGACAAGAACTGTATAATTTCACTCATATGTGGGCTACAAACAAAAAGCAACAAATGAACAAAACAAACAAACTCATGGATACAAACAACAGAATAGTGGTAACCAGCGGGAAAGGGGGGTTTGGGGGAGGATGAAGAGGGTAAAAGGGGGTCAAATATACAGTGATAGAAGGAGGCTAGACTTTGGGCAGTGAGCACACAATAGGGTATACAGACGTCTTATTATAAAGTTGTACACCTGAAATTCATATAATGTTATTAAACAATGTTATCCCAATATATTTAATTTAAAAATTTTAAATAAGGTTCCTAGGGTAAGCAAAACGGAAAGTCTTTTTACAAAATAGAAAGACAAGCTGTTTTAATCCTAATAGTTCAAATGTCCATCAACTGGTGCATAGATTTTTTAAAAATGTCGTACATCTAAACAATGAACTACAAAGCAATAAAAAAGAATGTACTGACACACACACAAACATGAATCAACCTCAAAAGTATCAATGCTAAGTGAAAGATGTCAGACACAAGATTATATACTTTGACTCCATTACATAATATTCTAGAAAAGGTAAAACTATAGGTACAGTAACAGATCAGTGGTTGCCAGGGACTGGGGATTGACTGTGAAGGGCCACAAAAGAGCTTTCTGGGCAATGGAAATGCTCTATCTTTACTGTGATGGTGGTTACATGACTATACATTTGTCAAAACTCATCAAATTGTACTTAAAAAGAGTGACTGTTCTCTCAATAAACCTGACTTTGATAGAAGAGCTGCTCAACTGACAGAGCTCCCAGTCATTTTTGTATCTTCACCACTCAATTGTCAGGAAGTCTAATACTTAGCAGCAGTTCAGTAACAGTAGATAAATAATATGGTATATGCCAGACGTGTAACATTGACACAAGGGCACCACACTGTAAAAGATATCCAACTACTTCTAGAACATGCCAATACCTGAGTTAAAAATGGAACAGGGCATGATAAATTAATGCATGATGTACTACCAACCTCTGATTGTAACACTGTCAAAAACTCAATTTTAAGTACATTCTATTTGAATAAAGGCACACTCCATACCCCTCAATGTTTTTAAAGAATAAAGTTAATACCAAATAGTCACAAGGATGTGGGGTGCAGCATGGGGATGTGGTCAATAATATTATAATGGTTATGTGTGATATCAGGTGGGTGCTCGATTTGTCAGGGAATTTCTTCATAAATTATATGGATGTCTGGCCACTGTGTTGTACACCTGAAACTAATATAAAATAATACTGAACGTCAGCTGTAAATTAAAAAAAAAAAAAAAGAATGAAGTTAGTAATTACTAACAACACACAAAAAGATTGCAACATAATTCAACAAATTCACCATGAAAAAGGTAAAAATCCATTGGGTGTAAATCTGCTATGATGGTTTGTGGCTTCAGTTTATTTAGAAAGTATGGAGCTCCTGCTCTAGTTTAATGTAAGATTTTGCTTCTCTAAGTGAAAGTCAATGATCAAAGCTAATCAACTCACTTTTTTGCTTGCTCGACTCAAGGGAGTCAAAGAACAGGTTGATCAAGTCAGAAATAGGTTCGAAAAGAAAATGAATTCACTGACTCACCTACAATTTTCTATTACACATTCTTTATGTAATTTTCTAATCCATCTCAGGTAAAAGAACATATACACTGTAATATTTACTTACTAGGCTAAACAGCATTAAATACTATACATTACTATAACAACAGGGATGATTTAGACCAAGGTTTACATAAATAGATTAAAACACCTGATCGCTATCCAGCAAACAAATGGCATTTTTAAGATGAAAATGAAGGCATTTGATACCACCAGCTCACAACGTCTCAGGACGTTAGTGAAATCATGGAAACAGGCAGAGCAAGGAGGCTTTTCCTAAGCGATGGCATTTTCTTGCCAGGAATTACCTCATAACACAATGAAAAGCTAGTGAAGTTTCTTCAGGAGTTATTTTCTAGATATTTTGCAGAAGATAACACAGCTAGACTGGAACCGTTCTGAACCCAGCGCTACAGAAGAGTTCAGAAAGCGTTTGGGCAGAGTCAACATTTTTCCAACGGAATCGCTACTACAAGTTGTCATTCCCTAAAAATGCTGCTCCTGGCTTTTTTTTTTTTTTAAAGGTTTACGTGAACAAAATCAAAGGAACCTTTCAGAGAATCAGAGGATGTGAGTGCTGGAAGAGACCTAGGGTTTGTCTAAGCCAGCCTCTCCTTAGGAAGGAAGCAAGCTAAGCCCCGGGCTTGGCCAGTGCGTGGCAGGGCGGCGTTTACTATACATCTTCCTTTCAAAAACGCTTCACCGACGCCTGCAAAACGGATGCGTAAGGAAACGAAGCTACTCCTTAACGAAGTCTGCACTCAACGAGAACTTCTCGCTCCTGCACAGCTTTGGAGTTCCGTCCAAGGAGGCCACAAAGATTCCTCGGTGGCCATTTAGTTGTAGCGACTGTCACGAAACTCAGTTCCAGACAACTTAAAGGAACGAGACATACAGGGCAGTCCATCTGCCCCGAACCCTTTTCATCCGCACCACGAACATGTCCGTGTCCCGGCAGCCTCTCAGGAGCCGCCTGCCCAAGTTTAAAAGGAAGCGTGGTTTAAATGAGCGGTAAGCACTGCGGAGGGTCGGACACACGCTCGTATAACCCCACTGCGCGTGCGACACCCCAGCCTCTCACGACACCGGCTGGCAAGGCTGCAACCTACAGGCTTGGGAACAAACAGGACGCCGGCGTGATCGCCGCCGCACTGCCCCGGCCCGCACGCGAGCGGCGGGAGGGCCGCTTTCCCCAGGAAAGGGTCCGCCCCGGCCGCCTCCGGGGGCCTAAGGCCTGCCCACTACTTCCAGGGCGCCCCGGGCTGCGGGACCCCAACCGCAAAGGCTGCCGTCGTCCTCCCTGAGGCAACGGGTGGAGACCGGCCGGGGAACTCGACCAGACCGCCCAGGCTACTTACGTTCTCAGTGTCGCGTTCATTCACCGTTGGCAATGGGGTCCTCGTGGACATTTTACTTCACTTCACTCCGCACAACGTGAGGGTGAAACAAAACAGCACGGCCCCAGAGGCCGGCGACCGCGTCCTCGAGTGGCCGGCGGTTCCGGAGCGGCGCCGCGGGAGGGCGGCTCCCCTCCCCCACGGCCGTCTAGATCCCGGGCCG